AATGTGATAGTGTTTGGGGGAGGGTTCTAAAAAAGGTAATTAAATGGTGGTGCATCATACAATAAATCGGTCTTAGAACAGAATTTTTTTTTTAAACATTTGTTTAGCTTGGAGAGAGAGAGAGAGCACATGTGTGAGCAGGGGGCAGGGTACAGGGAGAGGGAGAGAATCTCAGGCAGACTCCCCACTGGGTGGGGAGCCCGATGTGGGGCTCAATCCTACAACCTTGAGATCATGACCTGAGCTGAAATCAAGAGTCAGATGCTTAACTGACTGAGCTATGCAAGTGTCCCTAGAATAGAATTTTTTTAATGGCATTTTATTCACTTAGCTCTGCTGGTATCAATCACACTCAGCAGATGAGGGGTCCACTTTGTGTCCTGGAAGGGACAATGCTGGCCAGTAGTCACCAAAGGTAGGAAAGATCAGAAAGCACTTTGGAGACCACATTCAGAAGTGTGTTGCTCCATGGAGGGGAGCAGAGGAGGGCTGGTAAGCACTAATGAAGAATAGAAGAGTCAAAAATATTAGAGATAGGACTGAGACCATACAAGAAAACTGTGGTCAAAACCTCTAAGAAGGAAGAAAGAGGGACCTGCTGGCCCACAGAAGCTAAGTCCCTGGACAGGCACATCACAAAAGGGGAACAGGATGATGTCTTAGCTCGAGTTGCCATAATAAATACCATAGACTGGGTGACTTAAAAAACATTTATTTCTCACAGTTCTGGAAGCTAAGAAGTCCAAGAACAAGGCACCAGCAGATCCGGTGTCTGGTGAGAGGCCATTCATTCCCTAGTTTACTGATAACCACCTTCTTGTGTACCTACACATAGAGAGAGATCATCTCCTTTGTGTCTTTACTTAGTAGGACCACTAATCCCATTCATGGGGCCTGATAGATGATGGCTTGCCCTGGGCAGAACATCTTGAACTATGACCGGCTCATAGTATGTGGGCACTCCTGCGTCTTGCCACTTCTGAATCACTGCTGTGATCAACTTAAAGCTCCCGTGCTCCAGCGTCCACCTTAGAAGATGTTTAGGTTAAGACATAGATCTGCGCTCACAAACTAAGAAAAGACATTGCAAAGATAGAAGTAAAACCCTGATTAACTCAGAAAAAAAAGACAAGGAATGGCTCAAATAAATAACCAGATAACAACACAGCAAAAATACAGTGATTTTACCAGAATAAATTCAGGGGACAGTTGGGGATATGATCTATTTCCACTGGGTCTACGGAAACCATATTAAAGAAGAATTTCATAGAACCTATAGATCATTCTGCCGTGAAGGAAATTTTTCCAACCATGTATGATTAGACCTTTAGAAACCATGATGCATCCAGGTGGTCCCTATGCAGCTTGAATGTAAAGAGTTTAGCACCTGGGGAAGGGACAATGTCTTTTCATGATTTTTAACTCTTAGTTTCTACCATGTTAATAGTGATAAAACACATAAGTTTTTAAATGGCAGAGAATTTCTCATTTTCTATTAAAAACAATAATCTTGATACTCAAAAATATAGTCCTTACCTTACTTATCTTCTCAAATGCATCCCCCTTTCCCAGCTGCTACTTCCTTTGGGACACCCATGTAGTCCTGGGAAAGTTGACTCCACCTTTATCTCCAAGAGGTAGGGCATGTGTTCCCGACTAAGCCAATCAATGAATAACCAATGAATTTCATTTTCTTTGCCCCAGTGACTGCTTCAGGTAGGGGCATGTGACCTAAGTCAGTCCAGTGAAAGAGAATGTCAGAACTTTTGCTAGAAATGCCAGAACAAAAATAATTTGCTTCAGGAGGTAAATGCAGGAGCTTTTAACCCTGGGAGGTCTTGGCTGCCATCTTGGGACCACAAGGGGAGAGTCTATTTATTTATTTGTATTTTTATTTTTTTAAGATTTTATTTATTTGACAGAGAGAGAGACAGCAAGAGAGGGAACACAAGCAGGGGGAGTGGGAGAGGGAGAAGCAGGCTTCCCAAGGAGCAGGGAGCCCGAGGCAGGGCTCGATTCCAGGACTCTGGGATCATGACCTGAGCTGAAGGCAGACGCTTAACGACTGAGCCACCCAGGCACCCCAGGGAGAGTCTATTTAGAATGGAGCTATCACCAGGGATTCAAGCAAATAAATGAAAAGGGAACCTTCAGGTGATTTCTACATTGTGCCAGCCACCCGGGAAACATGACCCCAAAGCCTTTGAACTTTTCACTTGTGGGAGCCAATAAATAATATTTTTTGTTTAAACCAATTTGAGTTCAATTTTCTATTTCTTGAAACCAAAGATTCCTTTTGATTCAAAAGAATAAATAACATGGCTAAGAAGGAATGGAATACATTTCAGATGGGATAAAGAGTTAAATGTGAAAAATGGCCCATACAAGAGAAGTTATATGTGTTGAAAAGATGAAAGTGGTGTAAGCATTTTTTTAAGATTTTATTTATTTATTTGAGATAGAGCAAGAGAGAGCGTGCAAGTGCGGGGTGGGGGGAGGGCAGTGGGAGAGGGAGAAGCAGTCTCTCCACTGAGCAGGGAGCCCGATGCAGGGCTCAATCCCAAGAACCTGGGATCATGACCTGAGTCAAAGGCAGATGCTTAACCAACTGAACCACCCAGGTGCCCCAAGCATTTCTTGACCTTTACATGGTAAAGGCCCTCATGAGCAAAGAAGTAAAGGCTTATGGTTTATAAAAGACAAACAGTTATAGATTTGACACTTAAATCTTTATAATTTATGTAGATAAAAACAGTACCACAAACAAAATAAACAGATAAATGAGAGATTCTAGAACTTTTGCAATTATATATAACAAATATATATATATATATATATGACAAAGAGTAGTGTCCTTAATATATAAAGACCTCTTGCAAACAGAAGAATACATCTCAAGAGAATGGGTAAAGAACATGAGAAGGTGGGAGAAAAAAAGGAATTCAGTTGGTCAATTAAAATGAAAGCAGTCCAATCTTAGTAATTAGAGATACACAGATCAAGGTAAGACCAGATGTCTTTGTGCCTAGCAAATTATCAAAAACTTTAAAATGATATCTTGCATAGCTAAAGATGCAGGGAAATAAGCACCATCATACAATACTGGGCATGGAAACTGGTTCAAGCATTCTAGACAGCAATTTGGCACCATGTATCAAAAACCCTAACATATACAAACCATATAACATAGTCATTTCATTTCAAAGTTTTAAATATTTAACACATTATTTACCTGGAGGTTTCTAAGTGGTAATAATAACTCTACTACTTAATATGTGCAAGGTTCTATGCAAAAGTACTTTCCATCTATTATCTCAGTTCATCTTCTCTAACACCCAGAAACACAAGCACTGCTATCATCCCCATTTTACAGATGAGTAAACCAAGGCTCAGGATGGCTCATGAATTTGCTTCTGATTAGATGACAAGTAAGTAGTGGAGCTGGAATTCAGTCATAGAAAGTCTGGTTTCAGAGCCCTTATGCTTCACTGTTATACTAAAGTATTCTTCTGGCCCTTGGCTCGTATTCTCAATTTATTTTTCTTCTTTTAAAAGGAAGACTTATTAATCTTGAGTTAAAACTTAAAAGGCATACTTCTGCTAAGAATACAAAGCTGAGAAAATGGAAGAGAAAGAAGGCAAAAAAACCAACATTTATCTAGTCCTTATGATATATTGGACTGTTCTACCCTCCACGAAGCCACAGAACCACTTTGCAATGTAGTTATGATTATCCCTGTTTCACTGATAAGTTGAGACAGAGAGATCATGACATGACCAAGGTCACTGAGCTACCTAGCAAAACCAGAATTCCAATCTACATCTGCTTGACTCCTAAGCCCTTGCTCTTTTTACTATTGGCTAATAAAAACCAAATGTACAAATACAATATTTAGTGGGAAAAAATAAACTTCTGCAATTGGTTTTAAAAAGTCAATTGTATAAATAAGAATTGGGAGACCTATTTTATTAACATTTCAGGTGCAAAGGATCTCAGGACTTGGGTTGACTGTGAAGTACCATGAGTGAGTAGTGGGACTGTCAGAACATTCCTACAGTCTCAGATGGCATTAACAGAAAAACCACATCCTGGAAAGGGGCAAGAATATTCCAACTGGTTTGTACACTGTTTATACCAGATAAGGAAAATTGAGATTAATTCTGAGTGCCACATTTTAAAAGGACAGACAGCAATGGATGTCCAGAGGAGAGCAGCCAGTTGGTAATAAAATATATACATACCCCTATGCAAGTATACATACTAAAGATGGGATTATTTCACAAAAGTTCAATAAGAAGACCCAGGAGGTAGCTGAAAACCACCCTCAATTAGCTGAAGGGCAGCTATATGGAAGAAATTCTTCTTATGTTGTGTGTGACTCCAGAGGACAGGGAGCTGTCACTGGAAGGAGGTAGATTTGGGCCAGTTAATGAAAAATCAAAACATGACTATGTCTTGCATATCTTTTTAGGCACTAAAATGCCAAGCACACTGCTTTAGACATAACAGGCAGTCTGCATATATGTGTTGAACTGATTTGAATGTTCGATTGCTGCTCAAAAACTCAACGAGTTTGCCTTGTAGGGTAGTAACATGTGAGCAGAAGCTAGCTGGCAACCTATTGTAATAAAGACTCCCATTCCCATAAAAAGAAATTCCTACACTTGCCCCACTCCACCTTTTTCCCAGCCATTCCCTGCTTCCCTCCCAGCCAAACTTCAAAGAGGAGTCTTCACTGCATCCATTCCAGCCTGACTTCTAACTCTCTAGAATATGTGCTCATCAGATCTAATCACCAAACATAACCCTCTCACTCATCCTACCCCAGGGAGAACTGCTGGTCATTTCCTCCTGGAAGGGCTCTTCTCCCTTTACTTACCACTGACCCAATCTCACGCTACCTTTCTGTTCCTCCTCAGCCTCCTCCCCTGGCTCCTCCTCCCATGACAACTTGCCTGCACACTTTCTCTTTCAGCTTCTCCGTGTTTTCTCTCCCCAGGATATCCCATCCATTCTGAGGATTTAGCTACCGTTGGACACTGCCTTCCGAACCTACACACTCAGTCCAAACCTCTTTCCTGATCTGCAGACCTGTCTCATTCGCCACTGGTATCACTGCAAACTTAATATGCTACTCATCATCCCCACCACATGGGCTCTCCTTCCCCCCCTTTAGCTTAGTTAATGTCATTACACTTTAGCTGTGGCCTCTCTCCCCTGCTCCCAAACTCCTATCTAATCAATAGCCATGTCCTCAATACAACTTCTAAATCTCCCTTGGATTTGTCACTGCTTTTCATCCCACTGCTGCTGTGGTGATTCAGACCTTAATCCCTTCCTTAGACTATTACAGGGGCCTTCTAATTGGCTTTCTAGGCTCCAGTCTCCCCTTATTCTAACACAGCCTTCATCTTGCCAACTAAAGGCTTATTTATTTTTTTAATGTGAATGATCACACCTCTCTCCTACTTAAGAGCCTCTGGTAATTACTTACTGTCTTCAGTATAAAGTCCAAATTCCTTACCTAAATCAAGCTTCTTTTTGATAAGGCTACAACCCACCACAGTCATTTTCAACTCACACCAGACTTTCCTCTTTTTTCTGAACACAGTTTGCCTTTTCACAACTTTGTACCCTTTTTCTTCCTATTCCCATTGGGAAAATGCCACTCCTCTCCCCTTGGCCAACCCATCTCCTCCTTCAGTGCCCAACCCAAACTTCAGCATCTCTAGAAAAAAAAAAAATCCCTTTTAGCTTCCAAGTAAGACATCAGGGCTAGATATATGGTATTTAAAGCAACAGACTGGGGGTGCCTGGCGGTCTCACTTGGTAGAGCATGTGACTCTTGATCTTGGGGTTGTGAGTTCAAGCCCCATGTTGGGTGTGGAGATGACTTAAAAATAAAATCTTTTAAAAATAAATAAATAAAAGGAAGAATGGACTGGATGGGTAATTGTAGAGAAGTAAGCCCAAGGGAACTTCCAGCATTCAGAAATCAGGAAGGACCCAGCAAAAGTGAATGAGACGGAATACACGATGAGGTAGGAGGAAAGTCAGTGTGATGTGATGGAAGTCAAGTAAAGAAAATGTTTCAACAAGAAGGGAGTGATCATCTGTACCAAGAAGCTGCTGAGAGGACAGTAAGGTGAGGATGGACAATTGACCCTTAGATTGGACAACCTAGAAGTCACTGTGATCTTCTCATGTGTGTTTTCAGTAGAGTAATGGGGAACAAAGGGCTGACTGAACTGGCTTCAAGAGATAGAAATGAGGAGGTAGATGTTTGTTGAATGGGTAAAGTATTGGATGAATGAAGAAATGATGTCTTAGAGAGAATTCCATAATTGGTCCGGAACCAAAATAGATGAGTTATTTTGAACTCTGAGTCTCTGAAAAATTTCCAAATAGAAACAAGGATGCAATTGCATGATGCAAAGCTTTTCCTAAGTGACAAGGGAATTCAGAGTAAGATTAACCAAGCAGTGGAGTTATTCTAGGGAAGGTTCCATGTGAGTTCTGTAGTGATCCCATTTTATCAACTGCTGACCCAGTTCACAAAGACCTTCGTGCAGGACTTCTCAGAGGCTTCAGGGAAGAGCAGTCCCTGCAGGTACTTATGTGTAGCATATTCAGAGACTCTTTCCAAACACCTCTTGCTAGTGTGTGGAGTTGCTATAAGAAGTCTGTAAGGCCAGCTCTCATTCCTTTGGAGGCTGGGCTATGCAACGTCTGAATGATTAGAAAGAGGTGAGCAGGAAAAACCTGACCCATCCAACATTGTACATTGAAAATGCTGTTTTTGGAAATACTTCTCTATAAAATTTTTATACTGAAATAATAATGGAGATGGCCTAAGTGATCACCTATATTTGAGGAAGAGGTAGGCTGTTCTTACCTGCCACCCCCTGGAGTATGATAGTAATGAAATATGGAGAATATAGACTCAAGCTTTGATTTTGTGACATTCCTCAAGTGGTCAGAGTCTTAAAAGGCACTTTGGTGTAGATCCCATGTAGAATGTGTTTTTACTTATATGACTGAGGACAAATAACCTAGGGACCATATATTTCCCTTTACAGAATTGTCTATGGTGAAGTCCAGGGCTTGGACTGTGAAACAGAATCTGGCATAGAATATTTGAAGAACCTCCTGTTTCCCATAGTTCCCCAAATGCATAGGGTGCTCTTATTTGCCTATCTGTGCCTTTGCCCATGCTGTGCCCTCTATGTGAAATACCCCAATCCCTTTTTCCTGACATGCTAAGATCTAGGAGCACCTTCTCTAGGAGGCCTTCCTCATCCTCTCAGACACACACCGATCCCCTTTCTATGCTCCCCAAACCATTTTCATGTGTCATTCCTTCTCCACATCTACTGCACTGAACTACAGTTGTTTACTCCTCTGGCTGTTTACCCTCACTGGTCTGTGAGTTTCCTGAAGTCAGTGATTTGGTCTTCCTATTTTTATTCTTTGCATCTAGAATAGTGCTTGTACATTTTGAGCACACACTCACTGTTTTGAACGGATGTATGAATGCTTGAGGGCATTAGTGAATGAATGAGTGAATGAATACATGAGAAGATCAGAAAAAAATGTTATCCTCCAAAAGGAAGCTAATAAAAGCATAAAAGTGCCAGTGCCTTTACATACATGCACAATTTGTGCAGGTAAGGGTACTTTTGAAATCCAGCTGAGATGACAAGATCATTACAACATAATGTGTATGAAGAAGAGATATTACAATCGACTAGCAATATGTCTAGCACAAGTTGGTGAGAACTGTGCTGATTGAAAGCAGAGTTGTGTAGTGAAATTGATTCTTTTTGATCTAGATTTGAGAGAGAGATTTCATCTGTAGGACACATGAACATTTTGGTGTTGGTTATTTCTTTTTTTTTTTATTAAAAGATTTTATTTATTTATTCATGAGAGACAGAGAGAGAGAGAGAGGCAGAGGGAGAAGCAGGCTCCCAAGGAGCAGGAAGCCCGATGCGGGACTTGATCCCAGGACCCTGAGATCATGACCTGAGCCGAAGGCAGACGCTTAACCATCTGAGCCACCCAGGCGCCCGGTTATTTCTTTTAAGCAAGATACTTTTCATCTTAAAGTGTAAGGGCAAGGTACACTTTAATAAACATGTTTATCTAAAGCAGGGCTTCATTGGAAGGAAGGAAGGAAGGAAGGAAGGAAGGAAGGAAGGAAGGAAGGAAGGAAGGAAGGAAGGAAGGAAGGAAGGAAAGAAGGAAGGAAGGAAGGAAAAAATAAACGAGCTGTTATACCTCTAAAACGGAAGCTACATGTTACATTGAACTGTCATTTTATCCCAACATGCCTTGGTTTCTTTCATGCATATTATAAAATGATAATAGCCCTTACTAGTATTTACATTATAAAAGTGTTGTTACTGTAAATTAGATAGTATAAAATGGGTTATGATGTCTTCCCTGAAAGACATGCACTATACACAAATGAGGTATTATTATTTAGTTTTTCCTTTTCAATCTCGTTAAATGAGAATTAGATGAAAACTTGGCTTTAAAGCAATATCCGGTGGGTAAATGATTATTGACCGAAGTGAAATGAAAAAAAAAAAATCTTTAGCTGAAAACTCAGTGTAGCCAATCTGTGCACAAGGCAAAAATAGTGTATTTGTCTGTGATGTTCATCACTGTTTTTATCACCTCTCCGTGCTATAATCACAAACTGAAGACAGTGAAGGCTTTCTATTCAGTCATCGTAAGCGTTTTTGAGAATATGGACATCCTGGAACGATTACAATTTGGCCATATTTTTTCAACTAATCAAGCCACGGAGCTAGTTTTGTTATTGATTTCGGGCCTGCATGAATACCTTGTCAGGCCTCTGTTTCCACTCCTGGTTCTTAGGCTCAGGGATGGCTATTCACTACAACCTTTTCAGGTTGTTCCCCATTCACACCACCCAGGCCAGAGCTTATCTGGCTTCCTCTTGCAATCTAGCGTTATGATGGCAGGAGAGGGGTTGTGGAAATAAGATTGGGGGACTTGTTGTGCATGTTGGGAACTTCAGTTCAAGTAATGAAGTCCTGAGAGAACACACTGGGAAGATTTGGGATAACAGATCCAGTGGGACGGACTCACTGTCCAGGATAACTGTGCCTGGCCTCTGTGTGCATGTGAGAGCTTCAGCCCATTTCCAGTTCTTGGTCCTTGCTCTTGGATGGCCCTCCCGCTCCTCCCCTCATGTCCAAACCCCTTACAGTGTTCATCCATCATGTATTGGCTCACCTTCACTCCCTAGGACCAACCTTCAGCATTATTGACAGTGGTAGTCATCTGTTTTCCACCTGACCCATGTATTTTGGCTTCTGGATTTTGTTCTCAGAGAGGCCCCCTGCTTGGATAGCGGTCTGGCCAGCTGTGGGGCCAGCTGCCTGCTCCAGACTCCAAGGTGACCAAATTTCTCTCCTCTCCTTCTAACTGGTCCCAATACATAAGCTCTGGCAATAAGTGAATAGTAATGATCATGTGACAACTGTATCTGACCAGATTTTTACCTATGGTGGGCTGCTCAGAGAGGCCAGGTTACATCATGCACCACAGTGGGCCTGGTGTCCAGGAAGACTGTGTGGGTCTTTGAGGCCTCGAGAAGGATCGGGTGCAGAGGAAGAGCTGCAGAGCAGAGAAGGCAGGTTTGGTTTACTCTACAGTGTTAGCCATGTCCAGGACTGGTGGTGGAACCACAGGCCCATGCACAGGCCACACCTGCAAGCAAGAGTGTTGCTAGGTAATCAGCTGAGCTACAGGTGACTATAGGTGGTGAGGAAGCCTTCGTGGTGGCCCTCTTTCCTTCCCTTTGGGAAGAAAATTGAGGGATTAAATCTTCCATTTTTGAGTCAAACTTTTTGAAATAGTTGTGTAGACATTGTTCACTGGCTGTCTTTGTTCCTCGATTCATGTGACCTGGCTTCTGCCTCCACCAGCTGCTCTTGCCCAGCTGCTGAAGTATCTCCTTGGCGCTCACCCCGTGACTGCTTCTCAGCCTTTTTCTTGATCTCTTGACAGCATTTGCCTTTGTTGACCACAACCTACTTGTTGAAACGTGCTTTTCCTTTGTCCTCTGTGATACCTCACATTCTTGTTTCCCTTGTCTCCCTCTGATTGCACCTTCTTCCTCTTTTTTTTTTAAGGAAACTTTGTCTGCCCATCCTTTAAGGTCGGTTTTCCTCTTGGGCTCTCTTAGGCCTTTTCTCTTCCCCAGTGCTCATTCAGTGTATCTCGTTCATCATTGTGGATTCTATTGTTGCCTGTCATGTACTGATGATCCCTAAACCTGTATCCTCAGACTTCTAGATCAGACTACCTGCTGCTACCCTGCCCATGTTCTCCAGGTGTCACACACCAAACATGACCTGGTCTGAACTTGCCCCTTCTTCACAGCTCCTCTCGTTTGTGTTTCTGTTTTGCTGTCCTGGTGACTGACATCACTGTCCACCCAGGTGGTCAAGCCAAACATCTGAGCAGCAGTCTTGACTTTGCTCTTTCAAAACTCTAACATTCAAGCGATTACACATTTTAGTAGACTCCACCTCCTCTATGACAGAGCTTGTAAGGTTCTGAATAATTTGGTCCCACTTACCTTTCCGATCTCATCTCTGACCGCTCTGTCCCAGCTATGCTGAACTAATTTTCAGTGTTCAGATGCTCAGCATGCACAGTCATTTCTGTTACCTCCAAAATGTGCATCTGCCATACCCTCCACCTAAAACAGACTTGCCCCATTTCTTTTTTTTTTTTTTTAGGATTTTATTTATTTATTTGAGAGAGAGAGAGAGTGCATAAGTGGGTGGGAGGAGGGGCAGAGGCAGAGGGAGAAACAGGCTCCCACCGAGCAGGGAGCCCAACATGGGGCTCAATCCCAGGACCCTGGGGTCATGACCCAAGCCTAACGCAGATGCTTAACTGACCGAGCCACCCAGGCACCATGCCCCATTTCTTTTTTTAAACTAACTCCTTCATACCTTGTAAGTCCCCATGTACAAGTCTCTAACTTGCAATTCTCCCAAAGTCTGGATTAGGTGATCCTCCTAGAGCTCTTGATACACTTCTTTATCAGAGCTTCCTTTCTTATTTCTAGCTTGCCTTCTACTATAAGGTCTACTCTAAAGCCCCCGGAAACAGGGACCATATTTATCCTACTCACCTTGGTATTCCTAGTACCAACACAGTAATTGATACAAAATAAATGCTCAATGAATGAGGGAATATAAATGTTAAAAGTATCATTGTGAGAATATAAATTTTGAATCAGAATATGCAATTATCTGGGACTTATCAAGTCCCTCTAATATCAAAGGGAATTGAAATTTATCTAGAACGCTTTAGAAGAATTTATCAACATTAGAATAATGAGCAGATAGCAGTTAATAGAGGTAGATTTCACATCTGTCCCTGGTGGACTTCTTTTCCAGAATTCAGTATCCAGGTTCTCTGAGCCATGTTTTGGGATCACCCAAGCATTCCATCCTCCTGACTTTTCATAAATTACTGGATTCATAACCCACTCCATACTTGAGAAGATGGGGATTGGAATAAGGTAAGTGCTAGCTTCTCTGTTTTTCAATTCTTCGATTCTCCTCTCTGGAGTTTTCGTCAAGAGGTGTGACTGGCTTCCGTTCTAGTCTTGATGGCCTCACAGTGTTTGAATATTCTATGCATATGAAGAAATGTTGTGAAGGAATTATGTCCTTCCAAATATTTTTGTTTGTTTGTTTCATGACTATTTACATTCTTCCTATTGTTCTACCAATTTTTTCTTAATGTGATTCCACATAGAGGAAAGTGGGCTTTGCAAAATCAACTTGCTGCCCACTTCGGGACACCTTTTGGTCCAGATGCACACTAAGAATGTAGGACATGAGCACTGCAATTAAACTTCAAAAACAATTCTGCATTAGCCATGTTGTCTATGGACCAACTCCCATTCCATCCCACTGTCAACCTTCCTTAGCCCCGTACCTGCTTTAGCTTTTCATTGAAAGACCTTAGTATTATTTATTTTTAAAAATTTATTATCTATCTCCTCTACTAGAATGTAGGCTTGCCGAGGGTAGGGATTTTGTTTTACTCACCACTATATACCCAGCACATGGAATAGTAACTGATGCATGGTAGACACTCAATAAATATTTGCTGATTGAATGAGTGATGTCTTTTTAAAAATTTTCTTAAGAGGCTGATGCACACCTAGGTCTCTAGGGATCTAATGCAGGTCTGGTTTGCAGCCCCATCCCCCTTAACACTTCTATTGATGATTAAGATAATAACATTGATGGTGTGCTAAATTGATCACACACCAACTGGAAAGAATCACAAATGAGCTGGATGAGACAGTCAGGATCTCCCCCTGCCCCCCGATTGAATCCCAACAAAATGTAAGAATGAATCACACCTAACAATATAAAGTTTAATAGGGACAAGTGTAAAGTACTCAAAGATCCAAAATTCAGTTGTACAAGTATAGATTGGGGGTGAGGTGTCTTACAATTGCTCACGTAGGAAGATTTAGAGTCTCCTGTAGATTGTTAGTAGATGATGAGTCAACACAGTGTGATGTACCTCAAAAAAAAATCAATTTTTTGCTATATTAATAGAAATATAGTGTTCAAGTTGGGAAGTCATTCTCTAGTACTCACTTGTGATCAGGCCACAATTGTTCTGTGTTATAAATCCTTCAACCTGTAAGAAGGACATTGATAAACAAAGATTATTCAAGGAGAGTAAAAAAGGATGAGGGATCATATAAAAATGGTCATATAAATAGTGTCATATAAAAATGATTAAAAAATTTAAGATTGTGTGTGGGTGTGTGAGGATGAGGATGATAGCTAGCATATGTAGCTACCTTCCAAAGTTAGAGGGGCTATCCTGCAGAGAAGAGATGAGATTTCTTCTGAGTAGTCCCAAATGACAGATGGAGGACCCCTGAGTGGAAGATGTAAGCATGTATATTTCAACCCAACAATTAGCCTTGCCCACCAATCAAGTAGATAACTGTTAGTAGTAAGTTCCCTGCCCCTGATGGTATTCAAGCAGAATTCAGGCATTCCTGCCCCATTTGCTGGATATATCTGTGATGGAAGTTCAAACACTGGGGTGAGGGATCAGGTTCATCACAATAACAAACACATATAGAGTGCCTACTATAGGGCAGGCATCATTGTACGTGATTAATGTGGATTGTTATGCTTAATACTCATATCAGTCGTACTAGTTCCATCTTAAAGATGAGAAGAGTGAAGCTCAGAGGGCTTAAGCAGCTTGCCCAAGGTCTTACACCTTGTACAAAGCAGAGCAAGGATTTGAACTTAAGCAGTCACATCTCTGACCTTAATTATTATTCTATAAAGGACTCCCACTTCTAGAAAACCATTCCTTCCCACCCTGACGTTCTGTCGCTCTAATGAAGTAATCAAACCAGGGAGCTTATTATCTCCAGTAGTAAATGCTTCTCTAGTAAATAGTTTCTTTCAATATAGTATGCAGGGACTAAATTCGCCTGGGCATTTGACATTTGTGGTGTACGATATGGAGCCCAGCATAGGACCTGGCACACAATAGGTGCTCAATAATAATTTTTTTAAAACAAAAAGAATATGTGGGGGCGCCTGGGTGGCTCAGTCGTTAAGCGTCTGCCTTCGGCTCAGGTCATGATTCCAGGGTCCTGGGATCGAGCCCCACATCGGGCTCCCTGCTCCACGGGAAGCCTGCTTCTCCCTCCCCCACTCCCCCTGCTTGTGTTCCCTCTCTCACTGTCTCTCTCTCTCTCTGTCAAATACATAAATAAAATCTTTAAAAAAAAAAAAAAAGAATATGTGAATGTAACCACACAAGATTGGCTACATTCAAAATGACAAAATCTCAATATATTGTGCCAGAGGAAAAACAAGAGAATTTCTGGGTGGTCTACTGAGGACACTTGGCAAAAAGTGGTAATCCATCATTTCTAGCCAAGGCCTTGAGAATTCCTGCTCCGTTTGGACAATATTCATTTCAACAAATATTTATTGAGTGCCTGTCCTGTGCTAGGTGTGACTAACATGCTGAGGGTCCAGAGGTGAATCAGAGGATGTACTGTTAGTGGGGGAGATGGACAGGTAAGCAAATTCTGACAATGCCATGTGACAAGTGCTGTCGCAGGAATGTGTGTATGTGTGTTTTTCAAGTATTACAGAAGCACAGAACTAATTCTACTTGGTTGAAAGAGTTGCCTGATACTTGATTACATTTTTAAAATGACTGCAACAGACTAATATGAGTTTATTTGGTCTTCATAAAGACCACGTGAGGTCCGTGATCCCTTTTCGTACAGAAGATGAAATAAAGTTTCATAGAGGTTAGGTGAGTTCCCCCAAGGTCAGGCAGCTGGTAAGAATAATTGCTGGCATTTAGTGCATGCTTAGGATACCTGAGGCTCTGTTTTAAGCCCTATTAAGACATTTTTTTTAAAAGATTTATTTAGGGGCACCTGGGTGGCTCAGTCATTAAGTTTCTGCCTTTGGCTCAGGTCATGATCCTAGGTCCTGGGATCGAGCCCCACATCGGGCTCTCTGCTTGGCCAGAAGCCTGCTTCTCCCTCTCCCACTCCCCCTGCTTGTATTCCTGCTCTCGCTATCTCTCTATATATAAATAAATAAATTTATTTATTTAAATAAATAAATAAAATCTTAAAAAAAAAGATTGATTTATTTATTTGGGGGGGGGCAGAGAGAGAGAGAGAATCTGAAGCAGACTCCAGGCTGAGCGCAGAGCCTGACGTGGGGCTCATCTCAGGACCCTGAGATCACGACCTGAGCCAAAACCAAGAGTGGGATGCTTAACCAACTGAGCCACCCAGGTGCCCCGGTCCTATTAAGACATTTAATCCTCAAGACTACTCTCTGAGGCTCTTATTGATATCACCGTAATTTTATAAATGGGAAAACCGGGCACAAGATTTAAATGACTTGCCCAGAGTCGCATAGCTAGAGAGTGGAAAACGAGAATTTGCATCTCTGCGTTCTGGCTTTAGCAGGCACACACACTTACCCACTGAGCTAAATTACCTTTAACTGGTTCCCTAAAGAGCTGGAACTCACCTGGAGTCTGAGTCCAAGTTCAGCTTTCTTTCAAGTGACCTTGCCCTTTAGCGATATTGCATCCCAATGAAAAGAAGTGGTGTGTGCCTGGATATAAGGAGAGGTCGTGTAAGTTGGGCATCCAAGGAAGTGTTTTGGGAGCAGAGGGGTAAAATCGAGAATATGCATTAGTTGTGTACACAGAGTTTTTCAGGGCGGCCAAAATTTGGTTTGCTGTCCTTCAGGTCAGCACTCTGAGCTCTAGGGACTATGATTTGTTACTCATAGGAACTAGCCACCAACACTTAGCCTGCAGCCTTTTTAAAATCGAGTTTAAATTTTTTAAAAGAAGATGACAGGATGTAAAACATTACGAATGAAGCAAGTTAAATTCAATACCTTATAAATAAGCAAGAATGGAGTTACAGAAAAGGAGAAATGAAGCACATAATTGCTTAAATTGTCCAAGCCTTTTCTCTATAATAAAAATTCTTGGATTGAAAAATAGTTCAATCCAATATTATTGTGCTTTAATAATTAAGTTGAGTTGGCTCTGTGGCAAATCTGAAAAAGAATTGGTTATTAAAATGAATGAAGTAGATTACCCTTCCCTCAATAATTACTACTTTAGCTAATGTGGATATGACCCATGCAATTGAATCGACCGCATTTTTTAAGACATCCACCTCCCATAATTTTTGGAGATTTGATAATTTTAAAATTAGCTGCAGGCTGGGATTTCTGTGGTAGGCGGAGGGGCAGAAAGGGTCAATGTTCTTCAGCATTCATTCCTTCAAAGCAGATGGGATTTGGGGTTTTGTCTGGTTTTTAGTGTTTTGTTTTGTCCTTTATGGAGACCTGGTAGATTCACCGATTATCTTGGCCTTTGTGTTTATGGATTTCTATTTTCTTGGCTTCAGGTCCTTGGAAACATTTGTTTTGATGATGGCAGGAGGGTTAGTCATGTTTTATTTTTGTTGTTCCTATTTATTTTTAAGATCCTTTCATTCAAGGCAATTTACAAGGTATTGTGTAACCTGCATTTATGTCTCCACAAATAAAATACTTCTAATACAACTTTAGAGGGATAGTTAATAATTTGATGCCCAGTTCATGTCCATCAGAATGATTCTGTAGTATTAGTAGCTAGAACAAGGGTATGCTCTGAAAAAACAACGCTTGAAATTTATAATTGAATTTAGCATTTAAACTTGAAATCCAAGTTTTGTAAATCAATTAATTTTGAGTTACCAAGCAGACAAATTTTTATAAACATATTTTCCTTTGCATCACCGAGTCAGTAAAAGTTGGAAAATTCTTTTCTCACACATTCCATTTTTAACTAAGCCTGAAGGTAAATTGCTTTTAGAAACCACATCCCAAACAAACAGTTTTTCATAAAGTTATGAGTAAATGAATAGAGTGGGCTCTACTAGCATTTGGGATGGATGTCTAATTAGAACTCCCAGTATTTCAAACACATAATTTACCAACGTTGAGGTTTTTAATTCTTAACTTTGAGTCCACTGGGATAAAACAAGTGACCTTTGTTGGAAATATGTCAAGAATCCATTTTCTCAGGTTGACCTTTAGTTTCCTGGTCACCAAATCAAAAGCTGTTGGTTCCCAGGGTTAAAGGTGTCTGAACTTACTAAAGTTTGTTAAAAGATCAAGGCAGAAAGCTAGCTTGGCTTTGCGGCTGTGAAGAACAGATCGCCCCCTCTCTTCTCCTTGATGCTTTTTAGTCGGTTTCTCCATGAGAGACTCTCCATCTCAACTGGCTCCATCTTTGCTCTAATATGAAGAATGCTGCACCTCTTGCACATCTTCCATTGTGTGAGGGAGGCGGAGAACCCTGTTTTTACAATGAGACAGATGAATATCATCCTTTGAACTGACTTGACATACTTTCTAGTACAAGGCTCCATACTAGGCACCAAGGACTGCTGCAAATGCTCTCAATCACCAGTGTTCTTAACTTAAAAGTGGTAACACAGGATTTGTAATGCGCTTGATAACTGTGTGACCTTGAGCAAGAAACTTAATCTCTCTCCAAAATAACTATTTCACAAGGTTATTGTAGTAAATAATTGAGATTATATATGAAAATACTTAGCACAAAACAGGGCACATAGTTGCAATTGTAGATTGAATTTATGTGAAGCATATAATCATCCATGGAACCTCAAATGGACAAATGGACCCAAATCGACATTATCTGCCCCTAGCCATTTGTTAAATCAGAAAATTTCACTTCCAAATGAATAACCACATCTACCAATGACTTTGCTTTAAAGTCTACATTTAGAACAAAATGTTACTCTAATGATATTCTGTTAATATATTTCGGAAAGGGGGTGCCTTTGGCTCAGTCGTTAAGCGTCTGCCTTCGGCTCAGGTCATGATCCCAGGGTCCTGGGATCGAGCCCTGCATCGGACTCCCTGCTTAGCGGGAAGCCTGCTTCTCCCTCTCCCACTCCCCCTGCTTGTGTTCCCTCTCTCGCTGTGTCTCTGTCAAATAAATAAATAAAATCTTTAAAAAAAAAAAATATATATATATATATTTCAGAAAGAAGCTGACTGTGGTTTCTTTAGGAGAAAATTACATGTGAACCAAAAGAAGAAGGAATACTAGATATCTTTATTTCAGAATAAATGAAGGGTTACTTCTCTGATTATAGGTCATTCAGATGATATAATTATTAGATGTCCATATGTAATTACAAAACATGCTTGTTTTTATAAGTTGGTTTGAAACAATTTTACTGATCTCAAAGAACTAATTTCCTCCTAATCGAATGGCAAACCTTGCAGTACACCATATTAACTTTTAATATGCTAAAATTACCCATTAACTATCTTTTTCTTTAATTGCATCTACATCATGGCCCTACATTTATTTCAGCGATACGAAAGGAGTGATTTCAACTGATTGCTCTCTCTCCATCACTAGATTTCTCTCTTGCTCTCTCTCCTTCACTAGAAAGTAGGAGGAAGAAGCATTCCTCCCACCCACTTACCTATGAAAAAAGGATTCTCCGAAGCTGCCAGGAATGAACACTATAGTAAAATTACAAGAAAATTTTGTTAAGAAACCTTTTCTCATCTGGAAGGTATTTGATTGAAACCTGAGGTGCTAGATTTCAGACAAAGGTGACTTTGGAGGAGAAAGTTGGTGCCAAACTGGATCAGTTGTTTTTGTGTTATGTAAGGAGGAGGAAAAAAAAAATGAGCTGTTTATTCCTAAGCCATAAATTTAAGATTATCGTATTATACCAAATGACAGAATTTCCAAACCTCAAAACTTAGAGTTATATTTTCATGAACTATTATCTGTAGCCACTCAAAACTAAATATATTTAAATATTAAATAATTTGCTTTGCCCAGTTATATTTAAAATATACAAAGTTATTTTATTCACTGTGTCAGCAGTGAATCCTAGTTTGAACTGTGAAAATGGTATTGTTAAACAAAAGATTTTTCTTTTTAAATAGCTTTTTCCTGATTATAAAGAATATATGTGCAGTATAAAAATTACAGTATATACAGTAGAGTAAAAACAAAAAAATATAAATCACCAAAACCCCCATAATCCTATCATGCAGAGGTAACCACCATTAATATTTTGTTGTATTTCTTTATAATGGATGTTTATCCACGCACCTCCCAAAATACCCATTATATATAAATGCATATTAATGCTTTATTATAGAAAATTTAAAACATAAAAAAAGTAGGTAGAAAGCATGAGTCCCATGTACTCATCAACCCATCAATACCCTCTTTCTCTTCCCTACTCATTTTATTTTAAAGCAAATATCAGAAATTATATCATCTTTTTTGTTTGTATTTGTCTTTGTTTTTTTAAAGATTTATTTATTTATTTTGGGGGGGAGGGGCAGAAGGAGAAAGAGAATCTCAAGCAGTCTTCTGGAGGCTGAGCGAGGAGATCATGACCCTGAGCCGAAATCAAGAGTCAGATGCCCAACCCATGAGCCACCTAGGCACCCCTGTTTTTGTTTTTTTGGGGGGGGACAGAAAGAAGGAGGGGGAAAGAGAGAATCTTAAGCAGGCTCCATGTCCAGTGCGGAGCCTGCTTTGGGGCTCGATCTCACAACCCTGATATCATGACCTGAGCCAAAATCAAGAGTCCAATGCTTAACTGACTGAGCCACCCAGGCACCCCAGAAATTGTATCATCTTAACCATAAATATTCCAATTTGGATCTTTAAAAGATAAGGTCTTAAAAAAAAACATAACCAGTATCACATCTAAACTAATTAACAATAATATTTTAATAATATGAAGTATTCAGTGTTCAAATTTCCAATTGTTTCATAAGTATTATAATTTATTTTCATAGTTTGTTTGAAGCAGGATCCAAATGAAGTTCCCATACTGAGATTGGTTGATATGTCTACTACATCTCTTTAAATATATATGGGTTTCCACTCTAATATTTCCTTGCAACTTATTTGTTGAAGAAACCAAGCTATAGAACTTGATTTTTCACATTGCATCCCCATAGTATAGTTTAACATCTCTTATATCCTGTGCATTTCCTACAACCATCCGCAAGCTTTATCAGATTCCGTTTTTTGGTTTTCGTGGTTTTTGTTTTTGTTTCTTTTTTTCAAAACTGCCTCATAGGTAGTGGTGTGTTTTGCCATGGGGGGTGGGGCATAATGTGTAATACTCTCTTCTTTTATGTTATCTAGAATCATTGGTTTATTAAGAATTGCAAAATAGAATTGAATTTAAATAAAACAAAAATCTTTTTAAAAGAATTGCAAAATAGTAATATTTTAATCTTATTATTCTTTGAGTTGATTTTCTGGCAGGTGCCAATGGTGGTCAAATAGGTGTTTTGTTATTTTGCTTTTATTTTTGTTGTTGTTTTCAATTATCATTTGAACTCATTAATTGAAACATGTTCAATGTGTTTCAATACATCTTGTTTAATTATTCTTATTAATGCTTAAATTATCCCTATTTGGTCTCTTCACATTAGCTCCTGACTTCTTTTGACATGACCCTAGTAGTCTTGGATAATGTCCTTGATATTTGGTATAAGGTGGTCTAGGTTCATCTTGTATAGTTCCACACAGTAAAAATCTATTTTTTTAAATCTATTTATATTTACGACTTGAGTATGTATAAATATAATACCAAACCATAAGACAGAAGCTGTTTATAATTGCAAAGACTGGAAACAACCCAAATGTTCATTAATAGAGGACTGGTTGAAAAAGTTTGGTGCATTCACACAATGGAATTCTGTGCAGTTAAAAAATTGAATTTAGGATCTTTATATATATGGCTTGATCTCTAGGATACATTGTAAGTACATAGCAAGAGGGAGAAAAGCAAACATATAATTTATGTAAGAATGGATATAAATATATATTTGTATACAGATACACATATACACACACATATACATGTGTGTATATGTGTGTGTATATATTTGCTTGAATTAAAGAATAAACAGTGGAAGGATAAACATCACAAAATAATAGTTACCTATAAAAGGGGGAAAGGAATGAAGTAGAAGGGATGGTGATAGAAACTAGACTTGTTTATCTTGTTTTGTAGACTTGACTTTGGAATCACGTAAATATTTTACATAATTATGAAAATACTAATTTTTTAAAATCCAATTCCTAATTTTTTTTAAAAAACCTAATTTTGTATCCAATTTGTGGCACACAGAGAAATTATTTTGAATAACTTTAAAACACAGTAATTTGACTATATATCCCTAATGGGATATTTCCTAAGGACAAAAAGGACTGCAAAAACATTTTTTAACCATTTTTGGTAATCATATGGTTGGTGGTAGTGTCGATATCGCTGTTCTGGGTAATATGGGATAAGCAAATACTAATTATGGGATCTTCTAATTCTATCATGTTCAGTGTCCTTGAGAGTCAGGATTCATAGCATGGGAGGAAGGAAATCGAGATGTAAAAGAAGAGGTTAGGTAAAAACCTTGTAGTTCTGAATTTGAATTAGAAGTTAGTTGGGCGCCTGGGTGGCTCAGTTGGTTAAGCGACTGCCTTCGGCTCAGGTCATGATCCTGGAGTCCCGGGATCGAGTCCCGCATCGGGCTCCCTGCTTGGCAGGGAGTCTGCTTCTCCCTCTGACCCTCCCCCCTTTCATGTGCTCTCTCTCTCTCTCTCAAATAAATGAATAAAATCTTTAAAAAAAAAAAAAGAAGTTAGTGATATAAGGTGCACTGGCTGGCTCAGTCGGTAGAACATGTGGCTCTTGATCTTGGGGTCATGAGTTCAAGCCTCACGTTGGGCGTAGCCATTTCTTAAAAAAAATTTTTTTAATGTTTATATTTACATATATTTCTTAGCTCCTCTGTTCACTGAAAAGACCTAGAAATAGTGATTAAGGCAGTAGCAATGAGCACCATTGATATCTATATTAGATCTGGCTGAGGCAGGAAAAATGTCTACACACATATACATATATATATCATAAATACATATAGTCATGTATACATATATTTAATGTATGTGTGACATCAGTTATTTAGCTATTCTTCTATTTCTGGACATTTAGATTGTTTCCAGTTCTTTGCAGTTATATACGATACTGCAACAAAGAATTTATGCACGCCTTATTTTTTTAGTACAAATTCCTGTAAGTGGAGTTACCCGGCCAGAGGATAGGAACATATTTAAGCTCTTGATTAGTATTGTCAAATCGCCTCTAGAAAGGTTATACCAGGTTATACACCAAGCGGCAGTGCAGGAGAGTGACTGCTTCATCCCATTAATAGTTATTGACATTTTAGACATTTATATTGATAGGTTTCTGCCAATATGATCTAAGTCAGGTAGAGTCACTCCTTTCTTTTTGTTTTTTCCTCTTTGATTTTCTTAGAAAGAGACTTTAAGAATACCACATGGAAAAATTACACTGATGTAATGTTTTTGTGAATTTAACAACTGTGTATCAACAGACTAGAATGGTCTTATCAAACTATGTGTATTACTTATAATTAATGTGTGAGCTTGCTAACACTTTAGTTGCAAACAAACATATCATGAATGTATTGATACTGATTTTTATTGCTTTTTGGTAATTTGGTAGCCAGTTTTTGAAATTCCTGGGGTTCTTAATTATAACCCTACCTTTGCAGAACTCATTATATATGTGGAACTATTTCTCAGACATAGCTTACAAAGTTAACTAGCTTTGCAAACACTTCTTACATGTACCTTCTATATGCAATTTCATATGAATATCTTGAAACAAAAGAAGTAGATTATAGATAAAAATCATAGACGGTTAAAACTAGAGGGATCTTAAAGATCATCTGTATGGTCTAGCTTCTTTATTTGGTACCTTGAGAAACCAAAGCAAAGGGCATTGCATAACCCCCCTGAGGTTATATAGCTAGTTTGTGACAGTGTGAGATAAAAATCCCAATCTGATTCAATATTGTGTCCTCTCCGTGTAACTTCCTAGTATTAGCAAAACTTGAAGGCAATATGTAAAAAATAAAAATAACTGTTGTGTTAGGGAAATGAGATTTGGGGTACTTTCCTTTGAAATTCTATTGTGATGCTACCTTTAAAAAAAAAAACCTATGGAAAATAGATCAACAACTGCATTATAAAAATCAAGTAAAAGATCACTTCTGTTATTTAAAAGCTAGAAATAAATTATTCTAATAGAGATATATAGCAATCAAAATATATAGCATCTGAATGATATATATACACACATACATTCTACATACACACACATACATACACTATTGCAAGCACTTTATTGACATTATCTCATTGAATTCTAACAATAATCTCAAGCACAGAGAGGTTATGTGACTTGCCCAGGTAACGTCATGAGTGTCAGTCAGGAGTTGAACCAAGGCAGTCATAGACACAGTGGATTGTTCAAAGTTTCAAGCCTTGATGGTCAGTTTCATTGCTATGGAGGGTTACTATGATTGTCGGACTCTCCCGAACTCTCTCTCTACAGGGTCAAAGCTTCCACTTTAGAAATCCATTCATTTGAATAATTAGTGATGGAATTCCTCAGAGCAAAAAATTTTAGGGACAGTGCTTCTAAACCCCTCGTTGCCCATTTGCTAACTATGTGACTTTCCATTCCTTGTCAATAACATAGTTTTTTGGAGGATTAAATAAGATAAATTGTATCCATTTTTTAGCAGAACACCTGGCACACAATAAATATTCAGTAACAATCACTGCTATCATCAGCATCATTGTCATCATCAGTATTATTAATATCATTATCAACAGCGTCACCATTATTATTTCTTTCCAATTAATCCCTTTTTAAATTAAAAAAATTGTGGAAGGAGTAATACATCAACCAAGGGGCTGGGGACTCATCAGTTGTTTTTTCCTGACAGGAGAGGTAGTAAAGAGGTAGTGAAGAGAGATATTGGAAAGAGCAATGAGGGGACCCCGAAGGCAACTCAGAGCAGAGTTTTACCCCAAATTAGTTGGGATATATTTACAGAACAGTTCATTTTAAGCCCAGTGCTCTTACAAGGGATCCTTTAATTTTTATCAGGTTTCCAGAGGACCTATTAGGGAATGAGGAAGGGCACTGTTCTCAGGCCATGGACACAGACTGTCTTGTCTCTGCCCAAGGAATCCCATACACCATGGCCACCTGCCTGTCCATGCAGTGGTGGAAGTGGGCAAACAACCCTCAGCAAACGCTCTGTTTACTGTGCCTGGAAACAGGCCTTTTGCCATGGAAAAGTTTCCCATTGTACCCATAGGTACAGGACACACGTTGCACAATACGAATGATCCTATTAAGACTTCTCGCTCACCTGTGTACATCCTGTGCTTCAACACTGGGGCTCAATGCCGTTTCTAGGCGTCATTGCACTTTTTACTCATGGACAACGTCTAAAGGGGGCCTGTAGGAGCATCCTCTAGAATCCTTGTCTGGTCACAGAGCCTGAAGTCTGACTGCTTTCTGCTTCTGTCTTCTCCCTCTGATCCATGTACACTCTTTAATTTCCAGCATTTTTTTTTAAAGATTTTATTTATTTATTTGAGACAGAGAGAATGAGAGACAGAGAGCATGAGAGGGAGGAGGGTCAGAGGGAGAAGCAGACTCCCCGCCGAGCAGGGAGCCCGATGCGGGACTCGATCCCGGGACTCCAGGATCATGACCTGAGCCGAAGGCAGTCGCCCAACCGACTGAGCCACCCAGGCGCCCTAAGCTATTGCATTTTTTTTTTAAGATTTTATTTATTTATTTGAGAGAGAGAATGAGAGAGAGCATGAGAGGGAGGAGGGTCAGAGGGAGAAGCAGACTCCCCGCCGAGCAGGGAGCCCGATGCGGGACTCGATCCCGGGACTCCAGGATCATGACCCGAGCCGAAGGCAGTCGCTTAACCAACCGAGCCACCCAGGCGCCCAAAGACTTTTTTTTTTTTTTTTAAAGATTTTATTTTTATTTGCGAGAGAGAATGAGAGACAGAGAGCACGAGAGGGGTGAGGGTCAGAGGGAGAAGCAGACTCCCCGCCGAGCAGGGAGCCCGATGCGGGACTCGATCCCGGGACTCCAGGATCATGACCTGAGCTGAAGGCAGTCGCTTAACCAACCGAGCCACCCAGGTGCCCCTAATTTCCAGTATTTTATTTCTCACTTTTTGTTGTTATGAAATGAACATAAGTACATGGTAAAAGATGAAATGGTGCAAAGGGATATTCAGTGAAAGGGACAACTACTCCTATCCTGATCCCCAGGGCCCCTGTCCAGAAGGAACTACCATCTGTTCACTCATTCCAGAAACATGGTGGAGTCCCTTCTTTGTGGCAGCCACTGCTCTGGGCACTTAGGGCTGGGGAGCAAACAGACGGATAAGATCTCTGCCTTCTGGTAAGAGTTGAAGGGGCACAAAGAAGATACATAAGCAAATTATCATTTTGTATGTCCGAACACAATACATGTTACAGACAGAAACAAGCAAGGGAGGGGGACAGTGATCAGAGCTGCTGAGGTGATGTTTGAACACAGCACTGAAGGAAGATTGAGTTGGTGCTATTTGTGGGGAAAGAGCGTTCCAGACACAGAGAAAGCACATTCAAGCACGTCTGGCATGCTGTGGGGACAGGGTTTTAAGTACATTTTTACAATTTTTATTTATAAAACACTTATAAAGTATCTACCACAGCCAGGCATTCTTATGCGTACTTTATATATGTTAACTCTCTTAATCCTTGCAACAAGCCTGGGCACTCTTCTCATTCCACTGCAAAGGCAACATGAAACACGAAAGAGTTAGGAAAGTTGCCCCAAATCACAAATCAGTGAGTAGTCAGACTGAGACTTTCACAGAGGCTGTGTGGTCCTGAGCCCGTGTCTTAACTGCTGCACTCCGCCACACAGTAGGGCAGGTGTCTCTGGAGAGCTGTGGGGCAAAATGGGAGCCGTGAGACAGCCTGGAACAGAGGAACCTGTACACCCTTTCAGACAATTCTGACACACGTACGTGCGTTTATGTTTATGAATATGTGTATACACATGTGTATCCTTTAGGTCTGTGTCCTCTTAGTTAACATGCTTAATGGTAAACTGTCAAACAATTTTAATTGATGGAGAGGAAAGAAAGATTTGATATTACGTCTTTAGTTAAAGATGATATCCCATTAAATAATATTTTGGGCATGAGTGATTTCTTCTATTTTAAAGTCTTATAAATACTTCTCTATTCTGAGGTTCTGGCATACTTGTTTGTTTGATCAATGCTTCCCAAGATACCAAATCGACTTTTTTTTTTTTTTAACAACTCGGTGGTTTCTTATATAGTCAAAATGTACAACCATTGCCAATATCTAATTCCAGAACTTTCCCATCACTCCAGAAAGAAATTCCATACCTTTTAGCAGTCACTCCCAATTCTCCCCTCCCCACAGCCTCTGAAAATCACTAATCTATTTTCTGTCTCTATGCATTTTCCCACTGTGGGCATTTCAGATAATGGAATCATGCAAAAAATTCGGACTTCTTTTACTTAGCACAATGTTTTCAGGATCCATTCATGCGTGTAGTATGTATCAGGCCTTCATCCTTTTTTATGGTTGAAAAATATTTCATTGCATGCATATACTACATTTTGTTTACTTATTCATGAGTTGATGGACATTTGGGTTGTTTCTACTTCTTAGCCTTTTTTAATAATGCTGCTATGTACATTTGTGTACAAGTTTTTGTGTGAATACATGTTTTATAATTCTCTTGGGTACACCTAGTGGAATTGCTGGGTTCTTTGGTAACTATGTTTAACTTATCAAATCAACTTTGAACACAGGGTATTGCATACCACCTCGCTACTTGTAAGGGAAAAAATATAAGAGCAGATGGTTGCATTAGCAAGTGTCCTGTCCTATCCTATTTTTTTTTAAGATTTTATTTATTTATTTGAGAGAGAGACAGAGATAGCAAGAGAGAGCATGAGCAAGGAGGAGAGGGAGAAGCAGGCTCCCCGATGACAGGGAAGCCAATGTGGGGCTCGATCCCAGGACTCTGGGATCATGACCCGAGTCAAAGGCAGACGCCTAACCAACTGAGCCACCCAGGGCCCCTATCCTGTCCTATTTCTATGAGAAGGTAGCAGATGAGTGGTGGTACCTATTTCTTGGGGTTTAATGTGTCAGTACCTGAAAATCATTGGCATTCACTGGGTATATTCTCCATGCAGATCCCACTTATTGTGGCCCCCTCCATATAACAAGATAGAGAGTGACCAGGAGGAAGTTGCCCTTGAAGTAAATGGAGGGCTCAGTCTTGAGCAACCCAGTCTCTCCAGGTACCCCTAATAGCACCATAGACGAGTCCATCTGGAAAAGCAAAGGCTTTGAGATCACACTGTTCTCTAAGAATAATATTAACAATAAAAATCGAAGCCCCAACTTTGTAGCATTCACCAGAGGCCTTGGATAGTGCTAAATGCTTTATAACCTTTTTCTAGACCTATCATTTACTGGTAGCCACTTGAAATGTGGCTAATTTGAGTTGAGGTAAACGATATGTGCAAAATACACATTAGATTTCAAAGACTTAGTACAAAAAAGAGAATGTAGAATATCCCACTAATTTTTTAACACGTTGAAATGATATTTTGGATATGTTAAGTAAAATACATTACTAAAATTAATTTCGCCTGTGTCTTTTTACTTTTCTTAATGGGAGTACTAGAAAATTTTAAAGTACGTATGTGACTCATATTTGCAGAGTCAAATTATATTTCTATCAGACAGCACTTGTTCTAGACTATTCTTCACAGTCATTTGATTGGCTGGATGGTATTATCATCCTCACATTATGGGTGAGGAAATTGAGGTTTAGAGAGCTTAAGTCAATTGCCTGTGATCACACAGCTGTGGCTTCAGCACAACCCTGTCTCCAAGCCTGAATTCTTACCCGTTGCTCTGTGCTGTCTCCCCATGGCCCAGAAATATAACCCCTGTGATACAGAAATGGTTATGATCATTAGCTATGGCAAAAAGCTGTCTTTATATCTCCCTGTTGAGCGCAAGAAGAAAACTGTCCATGTTGTTCTATAAGGTAGAATTCAGGTTATAGCTGGGGGAAATTGCTTATTGGAAAGTTTCTTAAATGCTAACTCTTTGTAATGGTTTGGGGCTTACTCACCAAGGATAGGAGGTAGATGAAACTACTTCACAGGTTACTTTCATTTCTATGATCCCGTATTACAATTCTCTTCAGATTCCCACGTCAGCCACTGCCGTAACAGAGTGAGACGGAGTGAGCTGAATTAGTGCTTTTCTGTTTCATCCTTTTCCCCCCTGTGAAACGTAAGGCTTTAATTTCATTCCATTTCATTTGAATTTGTGAAAACCTCAATGGGACGTTTTTCATAGCAATGCTGACCTCTTCCGAGTTGCAATGGAGAGAAGGCAGCAACTATTTAGGAGGGAAAGAGTTATTCCATTTCCTTTTTTCCTCCCTGCTACCATAAACCATTCTCTAAAATATGTGTGTCTTAATTCAGTCAGGTCTGCTTTTCCCCAAGGTATCAGCATTCATCACTCAAAAAGAATTCTCATATGTGCATATTAATGCTAGCTATTACCCTATTTTAAATAATGTAACTTAATTTTATGATCACTTTACATATACTTATATATAACATGTATGGGAGTATAATTTATTTATTTAACTTCAAATACCAAAGGGGAAGCCCAATTGAGAACACTAGTTCCTTGAGCTATTTTTCCATGATGGGGAGGATTGGGATAATTGGGAATCGTACTTTGCCTCAGGGTCTCATCCCAAATGTTTAAGCCCTCTCATATTCATAGGAGCTAGAAATGTTGCTTCCAGCTGTTAAACCAAATCACACCCACTTTATTTCTTTTCTCCCCCAGACCACAAATTTAGAGCATACCAAGAAACATGGCAACTTGGCTCCTAAAAGATTAAGGGCAGCTCAAAAATCAAACTCTAAGAAGCTAAAAAATTTCTAAACATGTATGTGTCATGTTTTATAATTTTTATTTTTAATGTCAAAGTCAATTTTTTTAAAGATTTTATGTTGAAGTAATTTCTACACCCAACATGGGGCTCAAACTTACAACCCCGAGATCAAGAGTCACATGTTCTACCAAATAAGTCAGCCAGGCACCCCCAAAGTCAAATTTTTAGTGCCCCTAAATTAGGTTCACTTTAACTTAAATAGCTGCATGGGAGATAAATTCCACCATTTAATTTTGTTTAGTCATCCTTCCTTAAAATTCCTTAGCATTTTCAAATGTACTTCAGATGAGATGACAATGAACCACAGAGAGAAGAACTCAGAAAGAATGGTATTGGGAACGATGCATGGAGCTGAGAATCAGATGACCTGAATCCTGGTTCTGTTTCAACAACAAATTAGCAACAAAACCTCAGGGGAATTTAAATTCCACATTTACTGGATACTTACTATCTTCAAGGCATTGTAGTAAGTGCTCTATGAAACACAAAGATAAACAAGACCGTGGATCCTCAAGGAACTTATCACCAAGTAGGAAAGAAGGCATACGCACAAAACTGGTATAATGTGGTACAGAACGTGTGGGTAATGAAGGAGAGCTTATGGGAACAAAGAAAAAAAGAAGCATAATTCTAGCCAGGAAGATTGGGAATGACTTTGTGAAGAAGGTGACATGTGAGGTGGTCCTAGAAGTATGGGTAGGATTTCTGGGTGGGGCTGGAGGGGAAGGTGAGACAATGTAAGCAGAGGTATATGGTAAGAAAGTGCACAGCTGGTTTGGGAAACTTGTTAGACAGGAAGGCACAGTTAATTCTGAATAATAATGGGAGGTAAGTTCTGACTGCTCCATTAGAATCAGATTGTGGTAGAGCTTGAATTCCGTTCTGAAGAATTTAGACTTTATTAGAGGAGGGGGCAGCAAAGATAAAGGGTGGACCCATAAATGGGTCAGCTTTGCTAGGATGCTTGTTCTGACAGCACTGAGTGGTAGAAGTGGTGAACAGGAATATAAAAGGTGGGGAGATCAGTTAATCGTGGTAGGGTTTAGACAATGGGAATGGATAAAGAAGGCAAATGCAAGAGACAGATGCATTTCAGAGGGAGAATTGACAGGGCTTGGTGAGGACTGGTTTTAAGATGCAAAAAATGACTGAGGTTTTGAGCATTGATGAATCAGAGGATGGAGATGCTGAGCATGTAGGAGGTTTGCTGGGAAAGAGGCTGAATTTGGTTTTGAGCATATTTCATCTATTCTGAACATATTGGCTAATCATATGAAACACAAGTCAATTCCTGACTCCCCTCTTTCCAAAACCCTTTAATGTCTCCCCATCCCACTCAAAATAAAAGAAAGTCCTTACAATGGCTGATAAAGCCTTACATGTCCTGGTTGCCCACTTTCCCTTTGATCTCCTCTCTTCCCACACACCCCTGTTCTCAGCACCGAGAGCCACACTGGCCCTCTTGCTCTTCCTCCAGGACTGCCTAACATATATCTGCCTTAGGGCCTTTCTTGGTGTTTTCTCTGCCTGAAAGCACCTTTCCTCAGATGATTCTTATACCTTGCTCCCTCTCTTCCTTCAGCTCTTACTCAAATGCCATCTTTTTAGAAAGGCCCTTCCTGATCATCCCATATAAAACAGTAACCATCAATCCTCCCTTGTCCCTTTCCCTCTCCCCAGTTTGCTTTTCTCCACAGTACTTATCACCATCCAATATACTCAGTATTTACTTGTTTATTATCACACCCTGGAAACTGAAACTGCAAAAAAAAAAAAAAAATATATATATATATATATATATATATAATGTAATAGTCCAATATTTTCAAGGGTTCAATGAGGTTTGTTACTCTCGCACATCATTCTTGGGACTATACATTGATATAATCCCTTTGAAAAGCAATTTGGCAGTATATATAAAAAGTCATAAAATGTTGGTGTCCTGGAACATTTCATGTTTTGAAAATTCTGAAAATCAATTCTAAGAAGATAATCTAAAATATGGAAGAGAAAATATACAGGAAAATATGTATTGATGTGATATTTATAATATCAAGAAATTGGAAAGATTCTAAACATCTAACAATATAAGTAAATTACTATTCATTTATTTAATAATATATTATTCACTTATTAAAAGGATAGTTATGAAAACCTGGTTAGCAACAAGGAAAATGCTTATGAGACCGTTATATTTAAAAGCACAGAATTCACAATTGTATACAGTATGATTTCAGTTATCTTTAAATATGCATACAGAAAATCTAAGAGGAAATAAATTCAAATGCTGGTATTAAATGCATTAGGCTGATGGGATTCTAGGCAGCTTATTTTCTCTAAATCTTTCAGATTTGCTGTATTTGTTATATCCTTTCTGTGATGTGGTTATTTTATTTTTAAAGCAATAACTTTTTTAATCATCAAAAGAAACTGCTGGGGTGGGTGGTGCCTGGATGGCTCAGTCAGTTAAGCATCCAACTCTTGACTCAGGTCATGATCTCAGGGTTGTGGGATTGAGCCCCGCATCAGGCTCCTTGCTGGGCGTGGATCCTGCTTAAGATTCTCTCTCTCTCCTTCTGCCCCTCCCTGACCCCCCTCTCCTTCCCTGAAAGAAAGAAAGAAAGAAAGAAAGAAAGAAAGAAAGAAAGAAAGAAAGAAAGAAAGAAAGAAAGAAAGAAAGAAGGAAAGAGAAAGAAAGAAAGAAACTGCTGAACTGCTGCTACAACTCAGCTCACTCTCTAGACTGCATCTTTGGGTACCAATGGAAAGTGTGAGTTTCCAGGCCAATGGATGCCACCTTTAGGACTGAGGGCCACTGACACCAATGACTGGTCCTACAGCTCATTCGTCCCCCAAGTCTTAGCTCCCCCACCTCGTCATTCCTAACTTCTTCCTCTTCTCCACTTGCCTGCATAATTTTAGGCTGTGTCCTCCTGTTTGTGATGGTCACAAGCACGAAACAATGAAGGCTGAAAGAACACAACTTGCTCATGCATCATGACAATATTTATATGCATGCACTGAGGCTAAACTGCCTCATCCATGTCTCCTTTTACTTTTTCGTTTTTTCTTATTTTAGCCACCCCTTCCCTCATTGGCTGACATTCAGGATTTCCCACTTGCTCTTCTTCACAGTGCTTATCATCATCTGATATATTATATATTTACTATTTTATCATCACAACTTAGAAACTAAAGAGGTTAAAAAGAAAAAGGAAGGGGTGCCTGGGTGGCTCAGTCAGTTAAGCAGCTGCCTTCGGCTCAGGTCATGATCCCAGGGTCCTGGAATCAAGCCCCATATTAGGCTCCCTGCTCAACAGAGAGCCTGCTTCTCCCTCTCCCTCTGCCTCTTCCCCTGCTTGTGCTCTCTGTCAGATAAATGAGTGAAATCTTAAAAAAAAAAAGGAAATGACCCAATATCTACCTCCTGTGCATTAAGCTCTTTCTATATATTACCTCACTTTATCCTCTCAAGCCAGCAAAACAAGTGTTAGTCACATTTAGGGATAAGGAAACTGGGGCTTTGGGAGGTTAGACAGTTTGCCCAGGTTCACTTACCTAGGAGGTTACCAAGTTGAAATTTATTTATTTTTAAAGATTTTATTTATTTATTTGAGAGAGAGAGAATGAGAGACAGAGAGCACGAGAGGGAAGAGGGCAGAGGGAGAAGCAGACCCCCTGCTAAGCAGGGAGCCCGATGTGGGACTCGGTCCTGGGACTCCAGGATCATGACCTGAGCAGAAGGCAGTCGCTTAACCAACTGAGCCACCCAGGCACCCTCAAGTTGAAATTTAAACCCTTCTCTTTCTGACCTCAAATCCTATGCCCTTAGCCTGTACATGGATGAACACACATTAATTATTCAGATGGCATCCGTTGATTTATGATATAGATATTGCCCAGGTGAAACAAACAATTGAATAACTGAATTATTCAACCTGAAACTCTCAATCGACTGGTGCTGAGTGTCTTTGTGTCAGAAGTAACTGGCTCATTGCTTCAGGTTTTTTCTGCATATGTCCCCAGTATGGACTCAATAACAGGGTGGGTCTCAATAACGATTTGAGACTAAAACCAGCAATCTGAAGTATTTTAACTATGTTGGTTATCTGCAGTAATCTTGGCATTTAGTTATTAACTAAAATAATTTTATCTGTTTTGATTAATGACCTCAGTTGAAGGATTCAGAAGCTCTCCTTTGAAACCAACAGCAACTCTTTTGATAAAACAAATTAGTTATTAAAT